CGTTTCTTCTCTTCCCCACCCCTTCCAGCATCACCTCCCATTCGGATCCAGGCCATTCTCTTCCTTCTGTAACTGGGACCACCAAAGCCATCAGCAACTGTGAAGTTTGAGTCAGTCCAGAGAGCAAATAAAAGGATGCTCTTCCATCTCACCCTCACAACGGTCTGGGCTCAAAGGTTTGTAACATCCCTCCCACCATGACTTTGGTGACTGTGGATATTTCAACCTCAAAGGGGTAAATAGACCACCAGCCCTTTAAATAATACATTGGAAAGGGTAGACAAATAAACATTTCAGTCAAGGAGTATAGGGTGGGCTTTTTTTGTTTTGTTTTAAAAAGGCTGCCATGAGATCTCTTTTACTGCTGCCAAGTCAAGCTGAATTTCAATTGGCTAGGATGCAGAATACAATGGAGACCTGACTACAGTGGAATTTAAATGTGGCAAGTCAGGTAAGGAGAGCCCTTCAAACAACACAGGAAGCATGCAAGTCCTTGAGAGCCCACCTAGAATAGCAATTTGGATCTCGTCTATTGTTATCTTGATTCATATTCTTATACAGCAAGGGATGGGTAGCATGCATCCATCCTGTCCATTGGTCTCCCTTCCCCATGTCCTTCCCACCACCCTATCTGACATACTGATGCCAGGGTTCTTGACAGTGCCACCGTACTAACATCTGGCGATACTGGCAGAGGGAAGGACAATCTTCTTCTTGGTCTTCCTTTCTGGAAGGGAACAAAACCCTCTGCAAGGCTCATCTGGGCTCTACACAGCACAAAGGCACTCTTAACAGGTTTCTGTAGCAGGAGGGAAGCATCCCAGGAGCTGATGAATTCTGGTAGCAACTGGAACCTCACCAGCTGCCATATTTCAGCAGTAGTGTCCCCACCAGGCATTTACGGAGGTTCAGCATGGCCCATCCATTTCTTGGTGTCAGGAGCTTGTGATACAGCAAAGATCTGACAATAGCATTTAAGCAGCAGCACCACGTTACATTTGTGCATTAATTTAGTGCCTGGGTGGGAAAAGAACACCCTCCAGCCACTGTTAGACATTAGTTCCCATCCTTCCCCCTAATTATTGGGCCATACTGGTTGGGGTTGATGAGACTTGATGTTCCACAACAATTGAATGGGCACATTTTTCATTCTCTTGCTAAGGAATGTATGAAGTGCTGCACTCGCATTATCATGGTAATCCTTACAGCCACCCTCTACGGTAAACCATCCTTATCACTACATTGTGTATGAGTGGGTTGAGCAGAGGCTAAAAAGTAGCAGTTGGCATAAAAGAATGGTAAAGGGGATTCCCAGTGTGATGTAGTGGATAAAGTGACAGACTATGACTCTGGAGACCAGGGTTTGAATCCCCACTTGGCCATTGAAACTGATAGGGGAAAGTGGAACTGGTAAGACAGTTCCCTAAATATCTCACTTACCTTGATAGGGGGAAGTGGAACTGGTAAAACAGTTCCCTAAATATCTCACTTACCTTGAAAGCCCTATTACAGTCTCTATAAAGTTCTGACTTGACAACACAGAATACGTTTGTGTGTGTGCACACACACGCACACGCACAAACACGCCAGAATGGTCAACAATAAGTGATAGTGAGAGATAGAGACCAAAAATATCTGGAGACCAAGAGGTTCTCTACCATGAACCAGAAGGTCCATGGTAGAAAAGAACTTGTAACCCAGCCAGGACTATTCATTGCAGCTCGTGGTTAGAGATGGGGGTAGTCATATTCGGACCGTCCACTCATGCATCCGGTGGTTCCACAAATCCTTCCAATTGCTCCCGGAGAATCGCTCTCTTCCCGCTCGGCTGGCCACTCAGCAGCCATGTAGGGAGACTCGTCCTCCCTCCCCATGTGGAGTGGCTAGCCGAGTGGGAAAAGAGTGACGCTCCAAGAGCAATTGGAAGGATGAGCAGGGCCACTGCCACCACTGGATGTATGATTGGACAGTCCAGCCCCAAATCTCATTAAGTCCAGTTGTGAGGGATATTCATATACGAATACCCCCATCTCTACTCATGGTTCTTTTAAAAAACAGCCTATTAGGCTACACTGTCATTGTGTCAAAAGGTCTTTGGGTTGTCATAGCAAAACAGATCAGTGTCTCTTGGATTATACTCACAGTCATTACATTTTTGTTGCTGTTGGAAAATTGGGGGGGGGAAAGAAGTCCCCCATAATCTAGGGTGTACTCTAGAAAATATTCTGCAAGCACTGTATGAATTATTTAGTTTCTGACCTAACTTTTTTGTTCCATTACTCGGTTTCCAAGTGGTCCTCTTGTTTCGCCTGCATGCAATTGACAAAGGCGGATGATCTCATGTACTGTGCCTTTGGGGTTATAGCGATCAAAATGATGCCATTAATAACTCCGATGATCCAGAGGAGGATTTACCTGTTATGACTCTAGATTTACCGCTGTCTGCCAAATATCCATATGATGTCTCATATCAACCTGTCCTAAAGCTCAAAATTGTTTCTGGCCTAGTTCTCATGTAGGAGTTCATAAGAACTTTGTTGTCTGAACTTTGCTTCAACAAAACAAAGTTGTGTTGCAGCAGCAATGAACCTGTGGCCCACGGGATGTTGCTGGACTCCAGCTCCCATCATCCCATTATATACATCCTTCCTGCTTCCAGCAAAATAATCAAAATGGTAATCAAATTTACCCCTGTCCAAAATGACTGGAGAGCTGTTTTATCACCAGCTTTTAAGAAAAGATCAAAGTAAGTGTGAGCCCCGCCAGACATGGCTGTTTCAGTGGGATCTCTCCATGAGTTACCATCACCTTTTCCCTCTTTTTTCAACAAGTAGAGTCCTGAGTCCACCTACTTGATGTTCACAACAGGGAAGGCTAATATGCCCACACAACAGGCAGCGCTGGCGGTCTCAGTTCTGACTGGCAGATTGTTGTCCCTTGACTGAGCACTGTCAAATAACCGCAGTCCAGGGATACTATTTGTACACATATTCCCAGTCACCTGGGGGTTCTGATTCTTCTGGGGGGATCCACCTCTATTTGGTAGCCCTCCTGGGGTTCTTCTAAGGCATTTGTTCCTAACCTTGGGTCCACAGATGTTCTTGGACTAAAACTGTCAGAAGCCTTCACCATTAGCTGTGCTGGACAGGATTTCTGGGAGTTGTAGTCCAAGAACATCTGGGGACCTAAGGTTGAGAAGCACTGGTCTAAGGCATCTCCCCAGTCCCCCTCCCATCTGCTCTGTTTGCTCTCCTAATCCTGCTCCTCCTTTTCTGCCTCAAGAGCCCTATTTATATCACCTAGTTCAGGAGCCTCCAAATTTTTCAGTATGAGGGCCACATCACATATTTTACACATTTTTGAGGGCCAAAGGAGGGATGGGGGATGCAACTGATCCCCCACCCCCACTTTCTTTGCAAAGACAGCAGGAGTGGGGGATCTAATGGTTGTTGTGGGTTTTTCGGGCTCTTTGGCCGTGTTCTGAAGGTTGTTCTTCCTAACGTTTCGCCAGTCTCTGTGGCCGGCATCTTCAGAGGGAGCTTTCTGGGGGGGGGGGTCACGAGTCCCCTTAGATGTGCTGTAGTCCTTGTTAAATAATGTCTTCCTTGACCTTTGAAAGCCAGGCATTAAAGTTAATGCATATGTGTATGTACGAGAGACAGGCCCTTTGGGAGAGAAAGAAATCTTCCTAAGAAAGGATAGCTTTACCCATTTAAAATGCTTTTTTATGCCTATGTGGCAGGGAGAGGGGTCATAGGTTACTTGGCTATTATAAGGGGGGTAGCAAATCAAAAAAGTTGGGAACCACTGCCCTAGAATTTGGTTTCTGGCTGAACTGTCCACCAATCCTAATACACATTGATAGCAACTCCACTACAAAGGATTAGGAGGAGTTGCCAGTAAGCTGTCTGAGAATGTGGGGGAGAAGCGGAAGTATTACAGCAGGAAGACTGCAAACATTTTTCATTCTTGATCTGCTGCTGCTAAAGATGATCGGTTCCATTTCTCCAGGTCATGACATGGCATATGCCCAAGCAGCCTTGTCCAATTCAGAGCACTCCACCTGTTCTGGGCTTCAGTTCCCATCACTTTGACCACTAATCAAATGTAATCAAGACTACATTTCCAAATTCTGATTATAATGCTCAGATTTCTGCCTGCACATTTGAAAAATGGAACATAACTCATCTCATATATACACAAATTAGTCTAAACCCTATGATTTATTACCAAGTACTGAAACCATAAGAATGATAATGAATGGGTTCACTCCACCAAGATTTGGAATATGCTTGTGATAAAACAACTTGCTGTAAGGAAATAGTCTTGTCTATGAAGGCAAGACTATTATGAAATGTTGTTGTTGTTTAGTCGTGTCCGACTCTTTGTGACCCCATGGACCAGGGCACGCCAGGCCTTCCTGTCTTCCACTGCCTCCTGGATCTGGGATAAATTCATGTTGGTCGCTTCGGTGACACTGTCCAACCATCTCGTCCTCTGTCGTCCCCTTCTCCTCTTACCTTCACACTTTCCCAACATCAGGGTCTTTTCCGGGGAGTCTTCTCTTCTCATGAGATTGCCAGAGTATTGGAGCCTCAGCTCCAGGATCTGTCCTTCCAGTGAAATGCAGTCTAAGTGTATTTCTGATTATATTATCTGGAATGCTGCAAGATCTTGAATGCACCAACCCTGGACTGCTCTACAAAGCTATGATGGATTCTCTGTGCACCCCCTCATCATTATTTTCTGTCTTGAACAGTACAGTGGTGCCTCAACTTATGAAAAATATGATAAAGCTTCGGTTTTCCTTTCTAATAAATTATTCTCAATAGTTCAGATTTGCAAAATTCAAGATATATCAAAATCAATGCACCCAATACGCTCAGACAAAACCTTTTAACATTCAGTTCAGGTTTTTTAGCAGTCTTTCAAAAGGAGCTAAGAAAGACATGTAGTCAAGTTCTAAGCAAGAGGAAAGAAAACCAAGGTCAAAGTTCAACTGATAATTAATTGGCAAGGGTTTTATTTTTATTTTTCTTGCATAAGAGAAAAGGAGCACTCTCTCTATACATATATATTTACACAAAAGCTTGCTTGCATCAGACCCAAAGCAAAGAATTTGGTTGGGATCCTATTGATAAAACTAAACTGAAAGCAATTCAGCAAAACTAAAACAGTGAATTTACAGTGCTGTCTTAAACCACAAATGGACCTGCATCTTAAAAAAAAAACATACCAAACCAAATCAAACAAAATAAAAAGCCTGTAAGCCTACACCTAATGACCCTTCCCTGGGGATGTTGTTGCGACATCAAGAACTAGATGCAGGAATAGTCAACATACAGCTATCCTAAGGTAATTTTACATGGGTCTAAACTTGGGGTGGGGAGAGGGAAGCGCTGTGTGGGAAAGGTATCCATGGCTAACATTTTTGCCTATCTTAAAAAGGCCTCTTCAAGTTTCAAGTCAATGTGAAAATTGATCAAAAGCCAATGTATGGTAGGTTAAAAATCAGGTCTCTGGATCCAGAATTCTGGGATTGCTGTGATGTTCAAACCAGATTCCTACCCAAACAGGTACCGCCTCCCCCATTTGCTTCAGTGGAAGGTGCAATCAACTGAACATGCTTTATAGGCATGGAAATCTCCCCCCGTTATAAAATGAACATGGAAGTCTAGCCACCTCCATTTGTACACTATCATGGCTCAGACAGGTTGCTGTATGAGGCTTTGAAAGCTGCTACTTCAGAGCCTATCCTGCAGGAGAAAGGCTCCCGTTATGTACCAAAGCACAATGTATTAGTGGTTGGCCAACTGGAAAACTGAATGTTGCTGAATTTCTGGATGGGGAGGGAACATATTACTTCTCAACCTAAACAAAGACAGATGCTAGCAGAAAAGGTTTGAATTCTATCTAAAAACCACCAAAAAGCTAAATGTTGCCACTATCAGTGGAGCTCTGTAATAAATAACTCTATTGTAAAGTTGAATATAGAGCAAGAGCATTGAAGAATAACCCTGTAGTACAGGCATATCTCCTGAACAGGGGGAACCGTCAATATCAAATTCAAGCGGCTGTGGATGTATTCACTCCCCCCCCCTTAAAAACATCCTCCTCTCTGTGCTTATAAAAGATGCTACTGTCTCTTTGTTTTGATTGTGTTTTCAACCTCGGCTAACCATGCATCTCTACAGGGAGTTTTTTGAGGGGGACATCATATCAAGGTGTCAAAGATAGGAAACAACGTGTTTTATAAAATAAGAAATAAAAAAAAGAAGCTCAATATGAATTTTGTACAAGGGTAGAGAGTGCAGAGGACTGGAATACAGGTTCTCTCGTTCCTTTCTCTCACCACCCTTTCCTTTCCCAAGCGCATTGCACCAAAAGGCACTTTCACTCTGTACGGAGGATGATATGGATCCCTGAATCCGTGAATACCGGTCCACTCATCTCGCCAGTCCTCAGCGCAAATGAGGCATCTTCAAAAGGTTTCTGCATCTGACCTGCCGGATGGAAGAACAATTTCAGTTAAACTCAGATTGAAAGCAAGGGGAACACAACAGCAATTTTGTTCTTATCCTATCTTTGGAGCCAGAGGAGCCGCTGTGCCTCCTTGACAGGGGCTAGACTCAATGATCCATAGCGTACCTTCCAGCCCTGCAGTTCTAAGGTTATTATTCCCCCCCCCCTCAAAAATGAGAAAAAAAGAAAAGAAAATCAGATACGTCTTTGGAGCCATAGGAGCCGCTGTGCCTCCTTGATAGGGGCTAGACTCAATGATCCATAGCGTACCTTCCAGCCCTGCAGTTCTAAGGTTATTATTCCCCCCCCCCTCAAAAATGAGAAAAAAAGAAAAGAAAATCAGATACAATTATTTTCCCCCCTCAAAAATGTCTTGAGAAAAAAAGAAAAGAAAATCAGATACAGAGGCGATCACTGGAAAGTATTTGGATGTGCACACTAGTAAAAGGAGGCAAGGGCCAGGGCAAAGGACTGTATAATTATCGCTTCAATATGAATGGATTTAGGGCTCTCTGTGTGCCACACAGACATACCCCCTACTCTTAAGTATTCAATAAAGGGAGGGCTTAAAGGGTGCAAAAGTCTGATAATGATGATCTCAACTGAACACGTTCTATAATTACTAATTACTCTTCACTGTTGGACAAGTGCACGTTTCCCAAGTTACTAGTTTTACAGTTCTATGATACACAATCCCCATGACAAAAATCCCCTAATGTCTAGATTTTAAAAAAAACACAGATTTCCTGGAACTGAAATGGTAGGTAGTTGTATTCACCCCCACTCCAAAACTCCATTCTTAATTTTTTTCTACCTGAGATGCTCTCCCTGGCACAGAGGAGGAAAAAGTACAATGTAATGTGCATTCCCAATCATGCTCAAATATTTATGAGACAGGTAAACAGTGTTAAAGTCTAGACTGACTGTGCATTTTAATACCATAACTCCCAAATGAAGATTTCCTGGCTCTTTAAAGCTGTGGAATCCTGGCTCACTCCTGCTCCAGCTTATCTGTACCTCTTTCTCCTCTGATCCTTATTAAAGCCATCTTTCAGGATTATCTACACCTATAGCAAAACGAGGTGGGGTTGTATCTCATCACAATACAGAGGAAGAATCCAATGCTATACTGCTTTCTTGGCCTATTCAAGCACTTCTTCTGAAATGCAGAAAACTAGCATATCAGGGAAGAGGAATGTTCTACCCTATTATTTCTTCTGCTGTGCTTTCTATCTGCAAAGAGTTTAGTTGTTGCTGCTGTTGTTGGTCGTGGTGATAAGGGAAGATTTCAAACACTGATTGCACCTGCTAAAGATTTCCCTCCTAAATCTATAAGCAGAAATGGTGCAATTTCATAATGCCACTGCACTCTGCAGCAGAGAGAAAGAGAGAGAGATTTCAGTCCCTGCTGTCTCCTTACATTTGGTGTGGCTCTCTAATCCAATGTCAACCAGCTCCCCTTCAAGTAAAGATGTGTTAATTTATCTATTCCACACAAATCTTAGCACAGTGCTTGCTCTAAATGCTAACATGCAGGAATCTGCTGGACAGGGGCATCTGTCCAAGAAGTAAGAAACTCACTCTGCTCTAGCAGACTGATAGTTGTGACAACCATTTAGCAGGTTCTGGGAGAAAACTGTCCTGAGATCCTTTTGCCTGCCTGGGCCTGTCTGATTGCAGTCAGACCATAGCAAAAGTAAGCTGGAAAAGGCCAGTTGCTGGGCTAGGCTGCAGTACTGCCAATCAGCTCAAAGACAGCCGTCACTTCCTACATCTCCCTTTCTTCACTACATAGGGCTCTCCTTGCCCTGTTCCTTCTACAAGCCTTTCTCCAAGGCCAGTCCCCTGATCCCAGATCTGTCTTGCTCCACACACCTTGCTTCTGGATGCAGCTACAGCCTAGACCAGGGACCAGCATTGTGCAGCCCTCTTGAGGTTTGTCAGACGGCAGCTCTCAGCAGCCCTAATCAGCCAAACCCATAATGAACAATGATGCAAACGGCAGTCTCACAACATATGGAAAATTGTGTCTTGCCCACCCCAGGCCATGACCAGGACAGTTCTACAGACAGTGCTCCTGCTCCAGCTAGCCCCTGGCAACCCAGGGAATTAGGTCTGCAGGAAAACTCAGACCTGGGCTTGGAGGGAGGACTGCCCGACAAAAGGCAGTCTCCCATGGCTGTGACAAACCAGAGAACAAATGGCATCTGTATCCCTGTTCCATGTGGTTCAAGAGGCAGCAGCTTCCAGCCCAAAATAGCCTTATTTGCAAAAGGGTACCACCTCCCAACATGGGACTTGTGCTGCAGGTGACAAAAGGAAGGGAAGAACAGGGAGACAAGCACAAACTCAGTCCCGAAAGAGCTCTGCCAGGGCTTGCTGCCTTGAGATGCTCAACGCTGCACCAGCCAAGCTAGGAAAGATCAAGTAAATCTCCCCTAGGTTTTATGACCCTTGTCTAGGAGTTGCAAACCATTGCTGCAGAAGACAAATACAGAAAGCTTAAAGACAGTGTGACAGATGAATCTCCCCCCGACCCTTTTTTTCCCTTTTAAAACAGGAGACATTTGGATGATATACTAATCTCTTTGCAGCCTCTGAACGGGCTGTGCATCGCAGATGCATCATGAGTCTGAGGAGGCTGGGGAGAACTCATATATTTTACTTTAGGTATTAAATCTATCTGTGCCTTTTCTTTGTGGCTGCAGCTCTAAACAGCGTTGTCCAAGATTAGTCATTTGGGCCCACTGTTTCCTAAGCCTTAGTTCACAAGAGGAAGGGAGGGGAGGAAGGCGAGGTACCTGTCTAAGGGTTGCATTAATCCCAGGCATATGGTTACACAGGCATTTAAAAACAGGAGTGGGCCCACAGGAAAAGGATGTTCTTACCTTCACGAATAGACAACACCCCACAAGATGACATCCTTTTTTCAACAGTGTTACAGAGAAATCAAGGGAGTTTCCTCAAAGGAGAAAAAGTAAAATTGACAGGAGTCTGTGTTTATAAAATGCCTTATTAATATTCCACATACAGTGGTGCCCCGCATAGCAACGTTAATCCGTTCCAGGATTAACGTCGCTATCCGGAAACATCACTATACCTCTGTTTAATGCGTTCCTATGGGGGAAATCTCACTGGTAAGCGAAGATTCCCCATCCAGCCGCCATTTTCACCGCCTCGGTAAGCGAGGGCTGGGCACAAAAACGCTGCAGGCGGCCATTTTCTGCACCCGGCGGCCATTTTGGAACCACCGATCAGCTGTTTCTCTAACATTGCAATGCGAAACGCTTACCGATCATCGCAATGCGATGTTTTCCCTATCCAAAACATTGCAATGCAATCGCATTAGCGATCGCAAAAAACACGTCGCTATGCGGATTCGTCGTTAAACGGTGCGCTCGTTAAGCGAGGCACCATTGTACTTGTACAAGAGGAGCTGTAGATTATTCTGCCCCCAGAACTCTGCTACTCCTTCACTGCTCTCAGCTAGACTGGATTGTGGACCAAGTCTTAGGTTTGAGATAGGGAGATCTACACCCTCACTTAGTCAGAACTTCATTTACCTCTATAAGCTTGACCATGTTTGCCATAGAGTGTAGAGTGCTGGTTTTCCCATTTAAAAACTGGCTATTTGAGAGCTAGAAAAGGGCTATCCAAATGACTCTGGAACAAAGTTCATTGTATGAGAAGACAGAAACCTTTTGAGAGAAATCCGAAGAAGCTCTCCACTGGTCCCTGGAAGGGCCTCCTAGAGACACAAGTATATACAGTATATGAACCTCTTCCTCTGGAGGCAGAGAAAAGCTATACCCCAGCAGCCCTTTCCTAGCCATGAGGGAACCCTCCATGGTCAGTGGTTTCTGATGCATGTATTCCAACAAAAAAGGGGAGAAAGGAGGTGTGGCAGGAGAGGTTGCAGATCTGGGAGGGTCAAAGACACACACACACCCGGTCTTTAAATATAATCCCACCAAAATGAATGAGAAAACTCATTCTGCTCTAGCAGACTGATAGTCATGTCAGCCATTTAGTAGGTTCTGAGAGACCTATGCCAGTCCTTTGATCACGAACTGGTGCAGATTTATACCCTCCCAAAGAAATGTATGACAGGTGAGGGAGGTGAGACTGAAATAGAAAAAAAATACACTCCTTTCTCGCTTTGCTCCACAATCACGAGTCTGGCAGGGCTCTGAATGCAGTTGACTACCTGCCTTTTGCTCTACGTAGGGCCACTCTGCTTGTGGTGGGTGTGAGGTTTATAAAACAATGATGATGGAGAACATATAGGAAATTCTCTTGCTATAAAGCGACAGCATTTGTTCCTACTTCATCTAAAACAAAGCTTTTGGAATTCACAATTAGACATGGGCATGAACTGCTGGTTCAGTGGTTCGTGCGAGTTCATTTATTGTCCAATCAGGTGTTTGGCACTTCAAAGCCCTGCCGCTGCCTCCAAATGGGTGTCCACTAGAGGAGACGGGGCTTTGAAGTGCCAGACTCCTGTTTGGATGATAAACAAACTGGCAGAAACCGCTGAACCAACAGTTTCTGCCCAGTCCCTATTCACTACCATGGGACTGGGAGAGGGGGTAGGGAGCAGGATCAGATAATTTATAGTGAATAATTACAGGGAGGGTTTATTTAAATTATCACCAATATAAACAATAAAAAAGGGGCAAATAAGCCAAAATACCAATTTGCATCAGTGGTCCAAATTGTTCCTCATTTTGTAATTGAGTTTATAATTAATTGTAACTAAGTTCCTCATTTTGTAATTCATGTGTTTCTTGAATAAACTCGGATACTAATGAGTTGCTATAACAAATAGAACATATTGGTTTGCACTAAATAATTAGCTTTCTCTGTAAAAAGCATGAGGTGAGATGATTTTAACACTTCAGCTATATGTCTGGATAACTCACAATTATAGGTGCTTAGCAAAAAAGGAGTTTCTCATTAAAAGTAATACCATTTATGTGGG